TTTTAAAGCAAATGAAGATGTCGTGATGAGCAAATCCGGTATAGTGTAAACGCGGCCAAAACGTTATTTTTTAAGGAGTAATAAATTTAAATACTCTGGTATACGAACAATGAATTCATATTAACCTCGTCTACGCTGTTTTAACCTCAGAAGAACCTTTTATAACGGTTCTCCCTGAACGCCATACTTTCTGTAAATATCAACCCTTTTACAAAATTTCCCAGAGGAAGAAAACTGGAGCAGCCGGAGAAAAATGCAAGCAAAAGCTCACAAACTCATCTCACATTCGCAAGCTAATTTTATTTTGACCAGGAACGAACTCGCAAAACAGCTGTAGAATGCATTGAGTTTGACCTTAGTGCCACTGTAGGTGCTCACTCCGATGAAGTTGAGATAGATTCAGTTTATTGTTTTGTCAATCTTTACTGCTGACAAGGTCATTGAATTGTTTAATTAGGCGTAGAAAGTGAATGGGGTGAGGTGTGTAATTCAGATAATATATTAATTGATAAGAATGAATGCACGCAACGCACAGAACATGAATGGACCAGAAATTGACTAGAAGCACAAATATCAATGCTGTTAGATATAGTTATAAGACCGTCAACGAGCAGATATAAGCTAAGATCAAGACTTAACTACGGATTTTACAAGAATTATCAAAGTTTGCCAATATCAAATTTTTTATACCCTTAAGTGCTAATGACATCGGCCTATACGGAACGTCCATTGTCCCCAATAATCCGTTTATACAGCAATGGACTTGGGTTTACATTAATGAAGTTTCATTTAACTTCGTTTTTGACCGTGATATAGAGTGGTTTTTGTATAAAATATAATAAACTAAAATCTTACTGCATATTTCAAGGACATATAAGGGAATACTAAAACTTATATCAGGAAGTATATGGGTATTTTCCATAATCACACTGGTAATTGAATTTCAAACATTAATGCTGACTTCTGGGATACATGTTAGTGGAAAGAATAGATTAAGACGTCAGACCTTTTCTACCTCGTGGTCGTTAAATTCATTTAGTTTCATGTCGTCTTCATTGAAACCTGCTCTGACAATATTTATTCTGGTAAGTGTGAATATTAGCTGTTTTCATCGTGTTAAAGGGAAGTATAGCAAAGCTAAAACAATCAATAGAACACAACAGCCTATTTTATTTTCGAGATAACTTAAAAATGACGCTTGTTCGTTGACAATTTCCAGAGAATATTTTACCAATTGGATTTTAAACTATTCACCATTTCAAATGCTTTTGTTTTAATGTGTAATGGTGACTTGCGAAACGTTGAACGGGGGAATATTTTGCACTAAAAGTTCCGCTTATTGACTTGTTTTATCTCCAAAACTCTGGAAAATTAGCTTCAGTTAAATAGTTGAGGGTAAAACGTCGAGCGCCAGGTATCTAAGTTCGTAGCTTGATGATTTTCCGATTTTGAAGTAAACCATATCGCTGTCTATTCATGAATAAGAAAACAAAACGGAAAATTTGTCTTTTCACCATTCAATTCTCTATATTTGCTAGATATTTGCTTATTTTTAAAACAAAAAATGGCGGACACTAGGCAATTTTACTTCCTGTGTCCAAACTCTTTCGCAAAATCATGCTTCCGAGAAGAGAATGGTAGCGATTTTGAAATAGAATCGATTTTTTCTAGGTTTTGAAAAGAGTTGCACGATGTCTTCCAATTCATCTGATGATGAATCTGAACGTTCCTCATCTCCCAGCTTTCCTGAATATGAGATATGTATGAGCGAGGTATAAATAATAAAATATTTCAAGTATTGATCTTCTGGTGAGCTTTTCACATTATGATTAAAACATTCCTTTTTTTATTCAGAAACTAGACGGTATTCCACCATCACATGTTGTCAACATTGAAACAAATATGGCTATACGTTGTTTGTGTTATTTTTCATCAATGAAAAGTTTCTTGTACAGCTACAAGAGCGATACACTAGGACTTATAAGTGAAGATTTCAAATCTGATGTCAAGAAATTCATGGATATAAAATTTGAAAAGAGCTCGAAAAAAAAAGTGTTAAGTTTTAACTCTGATACAAAATGGGCCGTCTCTTGGGACGGTTCTTTAATAGCTGCAAGTGCAGCACTCAATCATCGTCACAGATATAATATTATCAATTTTGTTTTGATTATTTTTGCCATCCCAGATAATGAGGTCGGCAAGTTACCTAAACCGGTATATTGCATAAACTGTCTTCATGCTCGCACTTCTCAACTTAAGTTCTTCCCAGATGGAAGGAGAATTGCCGTAACTATTTGTTTGGATCCTAAACTTCCCCATTACTTGTACCACTTTTGGTGCCGTGTGTATAAACTACCGGACGGTTTGTGGAACGTAGAAGATTCTATAAAAGACGGACTCGACCAATTGATTGATCTTAATGTTGAATTTAGTGGAGTTGATTGCATTCAGTTAGGTTGTCCTATACTTAATACGCATGTTGAGTTTAATGAGCGTGACGAGCAAGTGTTAAAAGAAAGACGTGAAAGTGGGAATGAAAGTGATGTTGAAGATTATTTACATTTGCGGGCGGAGTATCGTGCTGATGGCTTTAGTTGTTTGGCTCTATCTCCTGATGTCAGCCGTCTTTTGGCAGGAAGCACTGATGGTGAACTGTTCTATTTTGACGCTGACAGTTTAAAACTACTACAACGTGTTCGTGTTTACGATTATTATACAGCAGTTACAAAATGCTGCTACAATCCGGCATTTGGCCGTGGGAATTTGCAATATGTGATCGTTACGGGCTGTTTGTGTGTGGCGCGTTTTAAATCTTTCTGACAATTCTGAAAATTTCCAATTTGCCTATCGAAAAGGTTAGCTGTTCACCCAAAACATCACAATTACTTTGATTTGCTTAGTGATATCAGTTATTCTCCTGACGGAAAACTTATTGCTGTTACCATAGCTTGTCCGTTTGATTACATTGTTAAGACGTTCATTATTGGCTCGCGTTCTGGTCAAATTTGTTATACGTTGGATTGCGTTGATGATCCTGATCGACAGTGTCCGAAATCTGAGTGTCTGACCTTGTTCTTTGGTAATTTGTGTCAAGTTGCTTCAGTTACAAGTGTTCATCCTCGCGTTTTTTTCTGGAAGTTACCTGTTGTCTACGATTTACAGACATTGTGTTTACTCACAATTAAAGCGTTTATCTCTTATAATAATGTTGAAAAACTCAACATACCTTTTTGTTTAAAAAAAGAGTTGAAGTACATTTATTCTTACTGTACTTGAGAATCTCATTTAATAACTATCGCCCGTTGGGCGTTCTATCACAACAATGATGCTTAAAACCTGGACTTCTATTGGTTATAACTTGTAAACATGTGCATTTGAATCTATGTTGGCTAATTCATAATACGTGAGTGTATTCGAAAACTGGACTACTTTTGTTAAAATTATGCAAATTTGGATAGATAAACGAAATATTTATTCAAAGACGTTTAGCTACCTCATCAAATTACGTTAATTTCCACCAGGGGCATATGAAGTAGAAATTTTCAAAATGGTAAAGTACACAAAAGTAATTTATAAAACACTTAAATACGTAAACACTTAATAACTAAATTATTAATTGCTTAATATCCGAATGCGAGGTATTTACAGAGAAATATCGGACCGAGGTCTTTTGTATCAGGTCTGATATTTCTCAGTAAAGTCCGAGAAAGTGAGGTTATTAAAAGCTTTATTATATGGCATTATTTAACTTGAAACGAAGCTTGCATTTTTTCTCGTCTTTGCTATATTTTTACCGGTTGGCTTTCAATTTTCATGTTTTTGTCCATAAAAAATCAATTTAGTTAAACAGTTTTTTAAGTGTTTTTTCTTCGAGTCACATTCGTAAATAGTTTTTTATTTGCGTTTGGTTTGCGTTTTGCTGTTTTCATTACAAAGTTTGTTCACATTTGAGTGTAAAATTCTGCGTTTTGGACCGTGGTCTATTACAGGAATATAATGGATCTCCAAAAATGTTTCTAAGCTTATCAAATCGTACCATTTAGCCGGAAGTCACGCTTGCCATGAAGCGACAAATATTTATATATTAAAAATTAAATATTTATATAAACAAAAACACTAAAATACAAATGAAAGATATTTTTTTATGACTAGACATAGTGTATATAAGTTTAATTCATTAACAGAAATGTAATATTCCTTTACTAATGTTTAATTTTCTTTATCAATCATTTTGAGCTGCAATTTTTGCTTTAAAGGAAGAAAAGGGATTTGCTCTCTCTAACATTAGTTCAAAAGGAATGCTTCATTATAAGACTTTTAGAACGTGAGTCTAGTAGACAAAGATAACTTTCAATATTCCGTAGATTTTAGATAATTTTCAATATGAACATAATAGCCCAAAATAAGACTTTTAAAAAAGCCATCACAATAATAAAATAGAGAAGGATTTATTAATAACGTTTCGTCTTTAACTTAAATAAGACATCTTCAGATTATTTGAGTTAATTTATATACACGAGGTTTTAAAGGGGTTATATCACGAATTTTAGCCCCCCTTTTTTTTAGCTAAATTGAAAGACCTTATTTCAGTGATTTTAAATCTGCAATTATAATTGAAATTGGATTGGTGAAAGTGATTTTATGGACGTTCAAAGTCACGATTTTCAGCATTTTTTTTGCGAACTTTTTGATCGGTATGCTAATGAGTTGTGACGTAGATAGTTGAACACATATATCAACATGGCGTATTCTACTAGTAATCTTAATAAGAAACGCGGAGGAAAACGCTGTGTTGCTGGCGGACCTAATCAAATTAGTTGCGCCAATGATTCAAAACAGAAGGAATGTCGATGCATCTGTTTCCTAATAAAGAAACAGAGCCGCAAAGACATAGAAAATGTAAATTTTGTGCGTAAACATAGACCGGGTTTTGAGGCTTCCTCTACCTCGTGTCTGTGTTCTGCGCATTTTGAAGATTCTTGTTTTGACCTTAATTTGAGCGTGCAAGTCAAGCTCAAAAGAAGGTTGAAGAAAGATGCTATCCCAACCATTGACGTGGCTGGGATTCCTGAACCATTACAGGACGAAATAACCGATCGAAAGCGAAGACAAGTAAGTTTACGCTTGTTTATGTTAATTTTTCTTTGTCATATGTAAATTCGATATATGTTTTGTAGATTATTCGACATACTCTCCATAAGCCATCGCTGAAGGAAACATGTTCTCTCGATGAGGAAGTACCATCTACTAGTGATGGAGCTGAGCATGTTGAAGTATGCACTGGGGAAGCAAACGATTCGCCATTTGAAGAAGAACTACATGCAGTTGGTGAAGATATTTGTGAATCCCAGTCTCCATGTAAATCGTGCCATCGTCTTAAGAAAAAACTTACATCTTTACAAAAGACTTTAAGCTGGTATAAAAAGACAAAAGCATCTTTGAAGAAAAGGCCCAGAAGTTGCAAAATGAATATCGACGCGAAATAGTGGAACAGTAAAGACAGCAGTTACAAGACCTAACAGATGATGCAGATCAAATATTAAATAGCTCTGGGAATAAAAGTACTTGCAAATGTACTAAATGCAAAGCTCCAATGAAAGGACATCCTCGAGGTCAATGCTTCACTGAAAAAGAATAAATTGAAGTTGGTAGATGATAGGGCAGTGGTCAGACATTGCTTGGAGCCTGTCTGGAATGGAGAAGTAAGGCACCTCCTTCCCACCACCAGCCTGAGGGTTCACCTTAGGCAAGTGATAGTACCCTCTAGCCTCCCTATCTGGGCACTGATATACACACCTTTCCTGATGATTACAGTATTAATATAACATTGAATGGTATGTATACTTGTCAGATTGAAGATGACTATCTCACTCGATTGTGCAACTAATTAATTTTCATGAATAATTTTTTTTATTGTAGTTTAATGCTCAACATGCCCTTTGTGGATGCAGTGCACTCAAGTGTGAAGACCTTATAAGATAAGTTCATGTTGCTTGCTATTTTCCATTTTACATTTATGCTATGATTTAATTCCATATAATTTTTCTTTTTTTCCCAGACTGACATTGAAGAAAAGATTTTCTTTACCGTATAGTGCATCCATGTATCTCCTATTTGGTTTTCATCTAGGCATATTTCCTGACCATTCTAAACTCAGCAAAGAAGGCCAACAGTCTCTACAGTGTACAAGTAAAAGACCTTTCCATCATCGCCCTCTGATGGTATGTAACCTTTGTGTTACCACTTGGATATGCTTTCCGAATAAAGTGGTAAACACAAGCAGGTAAAGGCCGAGTATTCTCCCATCCCATAGACCCACAAAACCATCGCATCAACCATCTGTATGCCACAGCTCTCAAGTACCTGAAGTAAATAAAAAGGTTGGACTAATTATTGTTGATGAAACAATGTTGATGATAACATTCTTTCTCATACAATTTACAATCTTACATATTTAATGATTGTGATGCTTGGCGGCGATAAGCACGTCCATTCCTATCTCTCAATAGTGGCCCGACGTTTTCAAGGACAGCCTCATGAACTAAAGGCCCAAATTTGGCATGCTGTGTTATGCATGATATTTTCTCAATGCTGCCATCGAATGTCATTTTCTGCAAAGCTGGTCCTATTTCCTTACAGCATCTGTACTCTAATGCGCCTTCTAACAAATCGGTATGACAGCATTGACAATTACACCTGAAACGTGGAGCATTGTGGTTTATAAAGTAACTTTATGTATATTACAAACAGGAGAAAACAACAACTTACCATTCACCGAGTGGAATTACGCCATCACTTCGTTGTTCTAAGGTCGCAGGGAGAATTCCATCGGGATCATCTGGAGTATGCACTTCATCACCATCTCCTGCGAGCGGTTCATCGTCATATACGAAGTCGTTTAAATGCTCGACATAACCCACGGATTCCGAGCTCGAATCAGATACGCATTCAGACATCGAATTCGAATTATCTGAGCACTGATTTGAAGCCATACTTTTCGGACAACTTGTTTTTTAATATTTTATTGAAAATACTGTCATTATTTGTTTTTAAGACAAGAAAAACGGCAACAAAATCACCTCCTATAATATAATATTATATTGACGGAAACAGACGTGTTCAACTATCTACGTCACAAGTATCAATATGGCGTCGTAAAAAATTCGCAAAAAGTACCTGACTTTGGAGGCAAAATTAAGGAACTTATATTTATCTGTTTAAGTCCAGCGACATGTCATAGTTCTTCAAATAATCCAAATTTTCAATTAAGCTAATAAAAAAGGGGGGCTAAAATTCGTGATATAACCCCTTTAAATACAAGCATATATTACAGGGTGTTAAATGACATGTGAGGTGAGTAGGAAGTTTAGATGACGGAATTAAGTGAGAATGGCGGTGTATTAAAGAAGGTGAAGGGGGATCGAGTTGCCTTGGGTGTTAAGAGAGGGTTTAAGTTTGGATATAAGAAGGCTTTCATGAATCATAAGGTCGTAACTGTCGGAGGAGGAAGACAGAATTGAGAATTCATTAAAATCGGCAGAGTGAGATGTATTTCTTATATGAGAAAGAACTGCAGAAGGTGGTGGACATAAGGAAGGCTTCCCTGTTAAGGGAGAGATTCCCAAGTGTTCTGATATTCTGGTGTGTATGTGACGCGTAGTTTGGCCCACATACGATGCAGAGCAGCATCGACACTTAAATGAGTATACAACACCAGATCTCAGGAGCTTGGGAACCCTATCTTTAAAAGGAAAGAAAGAGGAGAGACGCCTGAAAGAACGAAAAACAAAGCGAACGTTGATATGAGGAAAGGCAGCATTGCAGAGTCGAGTGATTTGAGTGCGAATCTGAAGACAGTGTAGGCCAGTGAAAGGGAGACAGAAGTACATGATTTTCTTAATAGCAGTGTGAAGAAGATCTTTGGGTTCAAATGTATTGTTGAGGAAGCAGTGAACATGATTGTCAAATATGTATGAAGGGAAGTTGTTTAAGGTGAACAATTTTCTAAAAACTTCTAGTTCGGTATGAAAGTGTTCATAGCTGGAGAGAGGTTGCAATTGTGTAGAGTAAGTAAAGAGGAGATCAAGGAGCGTTTGTATTGAATGGGAATGAAACTATGGAAATTGGTGAAGAGACCAGTGAAAGTGGGTTTACGATACACGGAGGTGGAAATCTTGCCGTTTGAGCGAGTTATTTTTACGTCAATAAAGGGGAGCGTGTTGTCTTTTTCCAGTTCAGATGTAAAGGAGATGTTAGGATGTTGGTGGTTGAGATAGGTAAGGAAAAGAGGTATGTGATCCAATGATCGGAAGAGTAGAAAGCAATCGTCAACGTAACGTTGGTAAAGAAGGTGTTTAACGGTGGAGGGCCAATGGGAAGCCATGAATTCGCATTGAAGGCCATAAATATGTTCGCAAATACTGGGCCTAGGGGGCTGCACATAGCCACACCATCAATCTGTTGAAAAACTTGGCCGTTAAAGAAGAAATGACAGTTTTTGACGGAGAGGAAGAGAAGTTGAGTGAATTATGAACGGTCAACGCCTTGAAAGGACGTGTTATTGGAGAAGATGTGATTAGTTATTATGGCGATTGTTTCATCAACTGGGATGTTGGTGAACAATGATTTAACATCAAAGCTCGCCATCACAACGTTATTGGCGTTAATGTCACTTTGTAAAAGATTTTGGACAAAAGAGAAAGAGTCCTTGTTATCATGGGAGCTTGCGGAGATTGGTGTAAGGAAAGAAATAAAGAATTTGGCTAGCTTGTAGGAGTAGTGGTCAATACTAGATAAGATTGGTCTTAGAGAAGTGCACGAGTTTAGTTTGGCAGGTGGAACAGCACAGTTGAGGCCTTTCGAAAGGATTTCTTTTTCTTTTTGGGTGATGAAACGATTTGAGAAATTGAAAACCACGTCGTCAGGGTTGATTGGGTTTGTGTTAATCTGTCCAGTGCTAAGGCGAAATATCTTGCGGTCTTGGGTGCGTTGTTGATGGCTTAGTTTTTTTGAGTTCTCACGATCAGAAACATGTTTTAGGTGAATGAAGTCAAGGTTTGAAACCAAAGATGCCAGTCTTCAATGTGCGGTCGTAGCTTGTGATGACAGTACTCGTATCTGAGCGTGCTTTGTGTTTATTTCTTCTTGTAACAATTTGTGTTGACATTGTCGATAGGCGCTAGAGGATCGCAATCTGCGATTAGCAACCTTAAACCATAGGAATCTTGGTATTATCGAGCGCTTCTTACACGTAATAAGGAACTCTAGGTCGAGTTTGGCTTTTTCAAGCTTAAGTTCAAGACGCTGGAATTTCCTAAACGCTTCGAGTGCTCCGTTTTTGTAGCGTTTTTTTAAAATCGTGGCCAGAGATTTGCCAGGCGGAAAGCGAATTTTCAATATGAACATAATAGCCCAACATAAGACTTTTAAAAAAAGCCTTATAAAGGTAACGGAGTTGTTATTCTGAATAAAAGATGATGGAAATTCTAGCGGACACATCGAAATTCAAACTTCTAAATGATGATGCCAACAAAATTACACTGAAACGCGAGAATCAAATAATGACGTTGCTGAGAAAACTAAAGGCAGAAAAATGCATAAATGAAAAAACATACAACGAACTTTATCCCACTGGTACACATATCGGCATACTATATGGACTCCTAAAATTCATAAATCCTCCATCCCTCTAAGACCAATCTTATCTAGTATTGACCACTACTCCTACAAGCTAGCCAAATTCTTTATTCCTTTCCTTACACCAATCTCCAAGCTCCCATGTTATCAAGGACTCTTTCTCTTTTGTCCAAGATCTTTACAAAGTGACATTAACGCCAATAACGTTGTGATGGCGAGCTTTGATGTTAAATCATTGTTCACCAACATCCCAGTTGATGAAACAATCGCCATAATAACTAATCACATCTTCTCCAATAACACGTCCTTTCAAGGCCTTGACCGTTCACAATTCACTCAACTCTCCCTCTCCGTCAAAACTGTCATTTCTTCTTTAACGGCCAAGTTTATCAACAGATTGATGGTGTGGCTATGGGCAGCCCCCTAGGCCCAGTATTTGCGAACATATTTATGGCCTTCAATGAGAATTCATGGCTTCACCATTGTCCCTCCACCTTTAAACACCTTCTTTAACAACGTTACGTTGATGATTGCTTTCTACTCTTCCGATCATTGGATCACATACCTCTTTTCCTTACCTATCTCAACCACCAACATCCTAACATCTCCTTTACATCTGAACTGGAAAAAGACAACACGCTCCCCTTTATTGACGTAAAAATAACTCGCTCAAACGGCAAGTTTTCCACCTCCGTGTATCGTAAACCCACTTTCACTGGTCTCTTCACCAATTTCCATAGTTTCATTCCCATTCAATACAAACGCTCCTTGATCTCCTCTTTACTTACTCTACGCA